CTTAAAGGAAGCATATAACGTACAGGAAGACTTCTTTCAGTTCTTTTCATGTATCAAGTGTACCAGTGTAGCTTTTGGACCATCCATCCAAAAGCCCAACATTTAAAGCTGAAAGGGACCTTAGATATTATCTAGTTTAAATTCTTCACTTCACAGATGAGAAAACTTAGGCAAAAGTGACTTGACCATGGTCATATGTCACTATGGTAACAGAAAGGCATTGAGAGCTATTTAAAAAAAAAATTAATGTCTCATGGATCTCTCTCCCCTCCCCTCAAAATTATTATCTGGTAGTCAACCTTCTTATGATGATCTTATTATACTTAATTTGATTTGTCTTCAAATAGTCACAAGCTGATGCTTGAAGACTTTCCATCATGATGAACCTGCTTCTGTATTATGATAAGTCTTCAGAATCGAATTATATTAGAAAATTTTATTGGAATGAATCAATTAAATAATATTGCTCACAACTGTGAATTTGGGGCTTTCTATGAATTCTCACTCCAATGGAAACTTCTCCATTCAATTTTTATATCACATCTTGCTTTCCTGTTTTTGCTCATCTACCCAGAATGATTATAATAAAGCTCAGACATGATGTTAGAAATTTTGTTAGAGATCTCGAAAAAACTAGAAATGGGGATCTGGCATTTGGTAGCTAAGGATCACTCTTTCTACAGTTTGCCCAACTCCAGTTAACATAACCAGAAAGTTTGCTATCCAATTGAATGCAATATAGCCTACTGTTTCAGAATGATATCATAATAGATTTATAAACAAGAAAAACTTTCATCCATGAAGAGCTAAGCTTTTATACATTTTTTTGTTTTGTTTTTTAATGCTTGAAAGCAACTGTGTTCATAGGCTTCTGAACTATACAGGGTAAACAAGCAGAATTTAAACTAAGTCATAACCCCCTCAAGTTTACCAGTGAAGAAAATAAGACTCAAAGATTTTAAGTGACTGACCCAAAGTCATAGAAAGATAATGAGCGTCAAATTTAGGGCTAAAACTTAGGTATCCTGACTCCAGACTCTTTTTACTATGCCACATTACTTATAACATTATTGGGCTTCTCAAAATAAAACAACATAACAGAAACAATGATTGCTATAAAATAATGCTTATATTTGTATAATGCCCCATAGTGTTCATAACACTTTCTCATATATACATATATGTATATATGTATGTATGTATATATACATGTGTGTATATATGTATATGTATCTATGTATAAAATCCCACTCATTACTTATTTTAAAAAAACCCTGTGAAAATGGTAAGGCAGATATTCATATTTTATAAAGAGAATGTGTGGCAGAGAGGATATAAAGTTAATTTTTATTTGATACTTGAAGTAACAGGGAGTCACTGGAGATTATTGAACAGAAGAGTGATATGGTTGGATCTATGCTTTAGGATTATCACTTTGCCCGTTGTGTTAAGGTGAATTGGAAAGGGAAGGGATGAGGTAGAGAGGAAAAAAAGGAAGTGGTAATATGGTAGCAGAGATTTTATTATTTGGAAATTATCAAGAAAATATATAGAATTCTTTGTAAAATTTCTGAGAGCCCACTAGCTTTGGATCATATTCATCCATCCATTCATCAAATGTTGTTCCCAGAGGTTAGAAGTAGCAGCAATATGTAAAAATACGAAGAGGTGGATTCCAGCTAAATGTAAGGAAAACATCCCTTTTAAGATAATCTTTAATTGACTTTGTATTTATCATATATGTGTCTATTTGTTTACAAGTTGTCCCCTCCCATCAGAATGTAAGCATCTTGAGGACAGAGAATGTTTTTGTCTTTCCTTGTATTCCCAAAACTTGGCACAATGTCTGCCAGGGAGTATGTGCTTACTAAATGCTTGTTGATTCATTCCCAGCAATTAGGGATGTTTAAAAATGAAATAAGTTGCCTTGACAGAAAGTAAATTGCCTGCCACAAATCACCTTCAACATTCTTGAAATCTATACTAGTGTAACAGAAGATCCAGTAGGTGGTACCAAGCTGAAAAGTATTGACCAGGGAAGTATTTGGCTTGCCTGTCTGTTAGCCTTTACTCTGAATGACTGGTTGGGCCACCTCCCTTCTGGTCATCCTTCATGACAGTTATAAGAGATACACATTTGTGGTTGTATCTAGGGAGAAATATGTTGTCCAAAATGGCACATGTGCGCCTGAATTCTTTTGACTGTAATGGAAAGAATGAAAAGGATTTTTCTTTAATTAAAGAAGAACTTTCTTTAATTTGGGAGAACTCATATGGCATTAAGTAACATGCTAACACTTCACTTTGGTGGTAAAAACATTACACATTATAGTAGGCTTTATGTAGGTTGCTGTGATAGAGACAAATGTGAGATAAATGAGCACAATTCATTGAATCTCCCAAGGTATTACAAATAGAAAAGGATAAATTCATGTGGAAGATACTGTGAACTTTTAAGGAAGTTTTTGCTTGGCCCCAGGTCAATAGTTCTGAAATTTGATGCTGCTAATTTGGCCACAAGTCCTGACAAGGAGCAACCTCTGGAATTCAATTTGGATTATACTTCATGCTAAATCACTACCTACTTTTATCATTCAGACTGTCAATAACAGTATAGTTTTAGTAAGTTTTCTCTTTTAGGTTAATATTATGGATTGGACCAAAATTACTACGTCATTTTACATAAGCTTCTTAATGTTCACCAAAAAGCTAGAGTTGATCAATGGGTGCCAGTTCCTTCCAGCCATTGTATCAAGCCTGCCTCGTATTATATTTTATTCCGCTACAAAGCCTGGTATTTCATTTCACCCTCTGAGGTTAGCTTCTTTACATCTTCCATGTTCCCAGATTATTTGGGTAGACACTAGGAAGTTTGATTCCCAAATTTAAAAATCGGCAAATATTTAATAGTAGTTTTACTAATATCAGCAAAGTCCTAAAAGTGATTAGATAGTTAAGAAATATGGTGATTAGTCCATTAACATTTGTGTAACACAAGAAAGATTCTATTCAGTGAAGTATATTTTCTAAATAGTGTCTTTAAAGAATTTGCCAAAGAGAAAGAGAAAAGAGTAAAGATAATCAAGGAAATGCCTACTTGACTAATTTTGCCTAATTTTGCCTAAATTTACTTGACAAAGTTTTTAGTACCAAGAACAAGAAGATCCAGCTATGAGAGTTTAAGGTGTAATCACATTTCTTCAGAAAAAAAAAAGAAAACCTGCTTTTGTGAGTGGATTTAAGTACTTCACCATGCTTTGCCCCTCCTCTGTTTTTCATGCACCTTCCATATGTGAACTTTTCCATAGCTAATCTTTTGAAGATACTAGATTGTGATGAGTATAAACCCTCTCAACAAAATGAATTTCTTGTAATTTTGGCATGGCATATTCTTTATATTAATTACTTTGAAAACTTTCAAGAAAAATATCCAGCCCTCCCCGGACCATGTTCTACTTGATTAAAAAGTCTATTCTTTCTCATCTGTTAATTTTTCTTGTTCTTTCTTCAAGGGGTTCTTAAAGATTCCTACTGATTTAATTTACTAACAAAGATTTTAAGCTTACCTAAAAGTTTATATGATTTACTTCAGCTCCCCCACATATATGTTTTATCAACCTTTCTGTTATAAGGAAATTGATCGTGTAAACTTTTTCATTTTAATTTCTCCACCATATGCCTCCTTTCTTCATCATTCATCATGCCATGTTTGACAATAGGTTTTTTTTTTGTTTAAACATCTCAAAACTAATCTTCTCTTGCATCAAAGGAAACCTACCTCAATTAGAAATGATCAAGAATAAGTCAAATATCTATAGATGTTTGAAATGAAAAATATGAAGAAAGTTATGTTTTTCTTTACTTTTTAATTTTCAGTAAAGAAATTTTGAATTCTAAATTGTCTCCCTTCCTCTTGCCCCACTCTACCCTTTAAGAAGGCAAGTGATATGATATCAATTTTATATGTGAAGTCATGCAAAACATGTCTCCATATCAGCCATGTTGCAAAAAGCAAAACAAAACAAGAAAAATAAAGAGGTTAAAAGTATGCTTCATTCTGTTCTCAGAGATCATCATTTCTCTCTCTGGAAGTAGATATCATGTTTCATCAAGGGTCCTTTGGAATTATCTTGGATCATTGTATTGATCAGAGTAGCTAAGTCTTTCACAGTTGATCATCATTATAGTATTGTTATTACTGTGTACAGTGTTCTCCTGGTTCTGTTCACTTCACTTTGCATCAGTTCACATAAGTCTTCCCAGGTTTTTCTGAAACCATCCTGCTTGTTTCTAATAGCACAATAGAAATGATTATATGTTAACTGATTTTATTTCATTAGACTTTGGTTGTTCTTTGCAGTGTTCAACACATTATGCATGATTAAATGTGTTAATGAGTAAAACATTGATGTGTATGGTGTAAGTTCATATTTTATTTTACAATTGATTATAATTCTAACTTTTCCAAGTATGAGTCTAAACTCTTTGACAAATATAATTTGGTGAGTTATTCTCCCCCCACCCCATGTGTGTGTGTGTGTGTGTGTGTGTGTGTGTGTAAATTTGTTGAACTAGTATTTTAAATCCAATGTACAAATCAATTAAGATTTAGGCATATGAAGGAATTTTTCTTGGAGACATTTGTTCTAGTGCCTACTTTACTTGAGATTAAAGTAGGACATTTAAAAGCCCGAATTAACTCTTTTTGGCCACTAGATACTATAATGCAATAAAGCTGTCACCTGTAGTATCCTAGAAAAATTTCATAAAGACCTAACAACCTCAGAGAGTAACTAGGAAATGAGAGAAAACTAAGTAAACATATTGAAAGAGAATTAAGAAAAGGAATCACATCAGAAAATTTAAGCCATAATACTGTACATTTTCAATAGCTATCAACATTTGAGATCCTTTATGTGTTTCCAGTTTGCATCTAGAACTCTGTCAAGGTGCACCGTATTATCTAATGTACAATACATTTAACACAATCTCTGTTGCAGGTTACTTAGTTATAGAAAATCCATCAAGTAAGTTGATTCAAGATTTTTTTTAATGTTGACTGTAGATTAACTGGCTTGATGAATCTTGATGTGTGGTTCCTCTTTGTATGTTTATTACAAAAAAAAAACCTCCAAGCTGGATATAAATCATAAAAGCATGACTAATTGCATGGTAACTGGAGAAATGCTTTCTCTCTCTCTGGGGTGAAGTCTGCATGTCTGTGTTTTAGCTTGGGAAGTAATACAGGGCTATTTAAACTCCTTGGGGTTTAAAATCCATGTCATTATGAGAATGAGGTCACTGCAATATTTTATATCTTCTAAAACCTTGTAATGTATAAAATGTTTTCTGAGTGACAAAGAGGTATTATGTACTTTAGAATGCAATGATAACTTTATGCACTTTCTCGGACTTAGAAAACTTAGATTGGAATGAATATTAAATTGTTAATCCCAAATCGCTTGCAAACAAACTCTCATTGACATTTGTTTTATACCATGAAAGCTAAGAAATTGGACCATCATTAAAGGAAAATGAAAGGATCTTTATTGATAAAGACAATCAAATGGCATTTCAAAGTCCATGCTGCTTGAGATCTTTAGAAAAATCTTACTTTTTGAATGTCTATTTTCTTGAACTCTCAAACAACATGCACAGTCCTGAGCCTAAAGGAAAAAAGCTAACATTCTCCCTTTTTCTTTCTTTCTTTCTTTTACTTTGAGGCCAATAAGCAAGAAGGCCTTTCTGCAACATGTCGAAGAGCTCTGTACAAACAACAACCTAAAGTTTGAAGAAGAATTTTCGGTATGTTACTAGCAGTTGTCACAACATTGCGAGACCTCCAGTCGTTTCATGTGTCACATTTCATGTCCATTTTAAACAGGCAAGGCCATGAAGGACTCTGGCCTTGATAATCAATACCCAATTACCAGGTTGATTGTTTAGATAGTAATGTTACACGGATTTGGGCAGTGCGGTCTTTAATGCAACCTGATCAGAACTATTCACCTAGTGTGTCAGGAAAAAAATTATCTTCTTTGGCCCTCCCTCCCCTGGAAGGAGAAATGTCCTTCTCTTCTCACTCCTTTTACCAAAAACAAAATTCCATTTTCTGAGTAATATGGTCACCGTCTTTGCATGGGATAGATAGAGAGCTCAAAATTCTGAATCGATTTGTACGTTTAATCCTTGGATTGAAATGGTGACTGTTTAACTTAGAGGGCCCATTTTATATTAACCTTTGTAATTTGTAAGAACAGTAGAGGTACACCAGAAAATACAATTTGACATAATGTTTTCTCAGATATGTGTGAATGTAGAATAGATTAAATTAATTCAAATTTGTATTGAGAAGGAATTGGTTTCCAACATTTTTGTCAAATTAACAAGTTTATAGCTATGTCCTGCTTAGTGCAAATAATGAATCCCTGAGTCCTGTGGAGTGATGCCATTATTCAAATTTATGCTGCATATTTCCATTGCACTGGAACCAATTACCATATTTTACATAATTATAACTCAAAATAGTGCAAATTCAAGTTTGTGTATTTTATTTATGGGCCCACATAAAATTGAGTGAGGGGAAGAAAAAAGGAAAAAAGTTTGGTGGAAAAACTAATTTTTTGAAGTTAACATAGAATTTTCATTCATTCAACAAACTGTTAAGCATTTCTTATAAACACATTTAAAGCTTGTGTGTATTTTTTATTATCCTTTCACTACTTTGAAAATGAGATTGTATTTGAGTATATTTAGGTGTCTGATCTGTTGGTTATTTGGCCTTTTAAGTTACCTTTTCTAACATGCACAATCATTTTATATCACAGAAATAATTTTCCAATCCATTCTCCCAAAGCTTCGTTTTTGATTTATCAGCTGTTCGAACTCATGAAAATACGAACCAAATAAAGTACATATATAGACTAGATTATAATATTTCAGTCTCTCAAGGAATAATAGCAAAAATGTGAGAAGATTAATGGTGTTTCCTACAGCTTTTTGGTTATGCTAGTTAAGTAATATTGGTCTGGACTTAATAAAACCAATGGTACCATAAAATTCTTCTGAGCAGTAATGGAGGGAAGACTTTTTTTAAAGAGCAGAAGTATAATTTTGCTAGAACAGGAGTGATTATAATTAAATTATGCATGACTGAGTAGATGAAAAAATTACCTAGCCATAAAATTTTACATTTTGTGTTTCATATTGGGAAAGTTTCTAGTTTTACTTTTTTTTTTAAAGGACTGTAGTTTCAAAATAACTATTTGGGGTATGTCATTGATATGATGTACTTTCAAGTTGATTCTAAATTTTTTAGCAAGTATTTATTTTCCAAGTATTAATTTTGTAGTATAAACAAGTATACCATTAACCCATTTTAAATGATCCCATATTTGTTGTTTTTTATAACTGAGGCCATAGTTAAATATATTGTAAAATTTGTGGCACATAAAATTATATTATACATTCTATTATCTTAATGTAGGCACATTGCCTCCCTTATTAAAATAATATATTGAAAGATATTAAGGTAGCTAAAATGATAATATGGACTACCAAAATTTCTTATTATAATAAAGCATTCAAAAATTTTATTAGTTATATATGATGTAATGATACCATATCACATTAAGCAGCTGCATTACACATATAACTAAGTACCAATTTATGCATATAACAAATCCTGTGAACTGACCCAATGTATTTGAATTCATATTATTTCAAGTTATAATTAGGCAAAATACGGTAACTGGTTCCGGTGCAATGGAAATATGCTCTGTAGATTAGAATTATTTGATCACTCCACAGAACTCAGAGATTCATTATTTGCACCAATCAAGAAATAGCCATAATAAACCTGTTAGTCTGACAAAACTGTTGGAAACTAATACCTTCTCAATATAAATTTGAATTGATCTAATTTATTCTACATTCATAAATTTGCTACAAATCTAGAAGTGTAAGGCTTCTCTCTGGCTTCCTTAAAAAAGGGTTGGAATGGTTAGAACTCTTGGCATATGAACATTAAACTTGTCTTAGATACTAATTTGATTTAACTATATTTAATCAGCTTGATAGGCTGTGTGTTTAGAATTCAGGTTTACTTTTTTTTTTTTTGGTTAGGCAATGGGGTTAAGTGACTTGCCCAGGGTCACACAGCTAGCAGGTGTTATGTGTCTGAGACTCGATTTGAACTCAGTTCCTCCTGAATTCAGCGCTGGTGCTTTATCCACTGCACCACCTAGCTGCCCCTAATTCAGGTCTACTTTCCACTTAAAAGAACAATTCAGTAAGGCAGGCAATCAAAAAGCAGCTATTAAACTATTACTCCGTGCCAGCCTCTTTATCTCTGTCCTTCAGTTTCTTCATCTAAAAGATGGATATAATGATATTTGATGTCCTGTTGCTTGGGTTATTGTAAGAATAATATACTTTAGTATTTTAATCGATTTGTAGTTTCATTGACATTACTTATATCTCTACACATGCACATTTCAAGCCCTGATATACTTTCTCATCTATTTTTCCTAGTTTCTTCATAAATTCAGCTCAAAGCAATATTCAACTAGCTTTTCTTTATTTCTCTTGTTATAAAATTTTATTCTATTTTCAGTTCTACATTCTCTTCCTGCCTCCTCCTCCCCTCCTATTCAGAAAGCAAGAAGAGTAAAGACCATTACAAATATGTATAGTTACACCAAACAAATTCTTACATTGATCATGTAGGAAGGAAGGAAGGAAGGAAAGAGGAAAGAAGGAAGAGAAGAAGGAAGAAAAAGAGAGAAAAGAAATGTTTCATTTTCTGCATTTAGAATCTCTCCGCTCTCTACGTAGATTTGGATAGTATGTTTCACCATATTGCAAAAGAAAACATACACAAAACAAAACAAGAAAAGTAAAAAAAAGTATGCTTCTATTTGCACTCAGTTTATCAGTTCTCTTTCTGGAGGTAGATAGCAATTTTTATCATGGGTCCTTTGGAATTGTCTTGGATCATTGTTTTGATCAGAATAACTAAGTAGATCTCATCAGAGTAGCTGATCATATAATAAGGATGATCAATGATATTACTGTTATCATGTAAAATATTCTCCTGGTTCTGCTCACTTCACTTTGAATTAATTCATGTAACTCATCCCAAGTTTTTTTAAACCATCCTGCTAATTATTTCTTATGAAATATATGAAAAATAGTTTTTCATCGCAATCATATACCTCAACTTGTTTAGCCATTCTCTAATTGATGTTCATCCTCTCAGTTTTCAATTCTTTGCTATTACAAAAAGAGCTACTACAAATATTTTTGCACATGTGGGTACTTTAACTATTTCTATATAGTAGTACCCATGTTGCTCTTTGGTTGTTCATCTATTGTTTCTGATTTTCAATGTGTGTCTAGCCCACCTCCTTTTCTGATCATGCATGCCCTCAATAATACTATTTTGCCACTTATTTCATATATATTATAATTGGCAGTATGCTATAACCAGCTTATGGTCACCATACATCTTCCCATTGCTATATGGATCTCCTTCAGTTTTGATTGTTCAGAGATTTTAGTCTTTTGTAGTCCTTAACTGTATTGCCTTCCTGGATCACAGGGAAAACCCATCCACCTCTGGGGATAGATTCCCCACTTCTCTTTTCTTTCGTCCCCACCCCTACCCTTGAGCTGCCCAGGCCACATTGAGGGTATTTGGCTGCTTGTACATCTTACATAAAACGGGAGGCACCAACTCTATTCTTTCTGATGCAATAGGGGACCTCTAGCTCTTACCATCAGTGTCTGCTGCCACATCCTAAAGTCTTCTGGTGCTTACCATCTGTCCTTTCTATGTCCTTTGGACCCTTGGACACTACCATCTGATTTACTTGTACAATCAATGAACACATGAGCTGTTCCATCAGCCCTGCTATAACTGTATTCTTAGGAGTTCATGGCATTTCCATTTCCCCTGAAACTGAACTTTCTTTTATGTGTTGTCTCCCCCAATTATAACATAAGCTCTTTGAGAGAAAGAATTATATTATTTGTTTTTCTATTTGTATCACCATTTCAAGGAATATCAGTTTCTTCATCTATAAAATGAGAGACTTAGATTCAATGACATCTAAGGTTTATTGTTTCTCAACTAAAGATCCTAAAACATATTCAGATTCATTTTTGTGATACTGTATGCTAACTATGTCTGCAAACTTCTGTCTTCTTGAAGAACATAGTTGGGTTCAGGGTAATTATGAGTCTTTAACTCTTTCATTTCTTCATTCTGAATCTTACTTTCTCACAGTTTTTATCTTATTCTCCTGTGCCTGTCCTCCCACTGTCATCAAGTGTCAAAATATATGTTGACTTAATTAGAAAGATCTTTTAAAGTTCTTCATATGTTATTTGAATGTCTGAAAAATAAATGTCTTTATTCTCTGCAAAAGGTATTGGTATGTCAACTGTAAATGTCACATTGGTCTCTCTCCTTGACCTCAAAATGAGCAGTGTAAACTTAGAAGGCCAAGTACACCAAGCCAAGATGGTTTCATATTGCCTTTGGGCATACATTGAAACAACTTGTTTTCACCTCTCCAAGGGGAACTTTTGTGCCTTCCTTCCATTTAGTTCTAATTTCTAGTTTCTAGGCAAAGATTGAACAATATTAAGAATACCAGCAATCAATTAGTCAATCAACAAGCATTTAAATTAAGCACTTATTATGTAATATCAAATGAGATAACATCTAAAGATCTTTGAAAATCAGTAAGTTCTATCTAAATTTTAGCTATTGTTATTATTATATGCCAAGTACTGTGGTAGCCTGTAAGGATGCTAATACAAAAGGGAGACAGTCCCTTTCCTAAAGAATCTTAAATTCTACTAGGAAGGTGCATTAATCTACAAGCACATTTTAAGTTCTTGCTATGGAGTAGCTAGGTGGGAAAGTGCATAGAGTGCTGGGTCTGGAGTCAGAAAGACCCACATTCCTGAGTTCAAATTCAGCCTCAGGCATTTACTAGCTGTGTGACCCTGGGCAAGTAACTTAACCCCATTTGCCTCAGTTTCCTCATCTGTAAAATGAGCTGGAGAAGGAAATGGAAAACCATTCCGGTACCTTTGCCAAGAAAATTCCAAATGAAGTCACAAAGAGTAGGGCACGGCTGAAAAATGACTGAATAGAAACAACATGTAATCAGCCTGGAAAAGATAGGCTGGAGTCAGATTCTTAAGGCCTTGGAATGCCAAAATGAGGAATTTTCCTTAATCCTAAATGCAAGGAAAAGACAGTAAAGCTTATTGAGCAGAGGATTGACATGGCCAGACCTACACTTTAGGAATAATTAAATATCGATTACTGGTGATTTAAAAACAGTGCGATTATTAGCACCATCTGACCCACTTTTGCTACTGTTACCATCATTACACTGAAGCAGGAGGGACCAGCACTGGACTGAGGGGTATTTTCATATCTTTCATGGATTTCCAGGGTCACTTGATGAGCCTCTCAATAATTAGCTAAACCAGTCCATAGACCAAAAACTTAAATTGTTGCTGGTTCATTACCCTAAATTTAAGACTTTCCATTCTAGTAGAGGTTGTTGGTACAACCTCTGAGAGCGAGAGTATCATCTCCACATGATGGCATCATCTAGAATTTTTTCATCTTCCTTGGTGTGGGTCATTTTACATTGGTTAAACTTCTCTAATAAATAATAGTAGTGAAAATTAAACTATTTTTGCCCATTTCTCATAGTAATTAGTTTTTAGGATTTTTTTAATATGTTGGGTTGGAACTGTTGTAATTACACAGACTTATCTTCTCATCTTTATTCTTTATTTTGTTTTAGCATTAGTTGGTTTTTACCTTATTTGGGATTCTGTTAACACACAAGTAGCAAATTCAGAAGGACTGCTGTATCGGAATCCTCTTCTTTCCTGCTTATTAGTAGTAGGTCTTTCATGGAGTCAGATACTTCAAATCCTACAACAAAAACAACAAGGAAAAAAGCCAACATTTCTTTCATCTTCTAGCCCCATAAGCTATTCTCCTGTCCTTCTTTCAGTGACCAAACTATGCAAAAAAAGGGAGTATCCCCTCAGTGGTTCTTCATGTCAATGTTTCTTCACCATTTATTAGTTTTCTCTTCTTTGCAATCTCTCATGCGAGCTACCATTCTTTTCAAAGTGAAATGTCAAAGTTTGCCCGTGATCCACTAATTGCAAGGTTTGATACCCCGCCCCACTTCTCATCCTTTTGGTGGCACTATAATTGTCAGTTTGCTGATAGTTTCTTTGCCATTGATATTTATATGACTGTACTTTCTGATTCTTCTCCTGTCTCACTCGTTATTTCCTTCTCTGTCTCCTTGGCTATGCTATCTTCCTTCTGACACCACAATGTATTGGTATCCCCACAAAGATCTATCCTTGGCCCTCACACACACATACATACATACATATATGCATGTGTGTATAGTATATATGTGTGTATATGCTAAAATTTGTAGCATAGTTTTAGGCTTTGTTAACAGCACTGCAGTAGGGATTTAATGACACTTTATATTCTCTCCCTTGGTTTTTTCTTCATCTCCCATAACTAAGTCTCTAAAGATGATCTCCCCTGCTAACCTTTCTCCTGAGCTGCCTGTTTCATCTCTACCAGGAGATTCCTGCTCAAACCCTAGGGTTGTGTTTGACTCCTCTTTCTACATATATCAATCAATTTCTAGGTCCTTGATTTAATTTCATGTTTCTTGAGTCCTTCCTGTTTTTAATTTTCACTGTCTAGTTCAAGCTCTTGTAACATCTTGCTCGGACCATTGTGATAGCTTCCCAACAAGTCTACCTGTTTCTATTCTCTTTTTTTTTTTTCCTTCATACCACTTCATACCACGTCCCATGGAAAAACAAAGCAGTAAGGTATGGTGGGGGGGGAGGGTAAAAAAAATCACTTAATTTGATTTTCATAGATCTGGATTCAAGTGACTCTCACATTTACCCAGCTATCTAAACATGCGCAAATCATTAAACCTCTCTGAGACTCAATTTCCTCATCTGCAAAAAAGGGGCAATACTTGTACTACACACCTTATAGGGCTATTCTGAGACTAACATTTTGTAAATCCAAAAGTACTAAATAGATGTGAGTTCTTATATGGTAAATATTATCATTTTACTCTTCTGCTCAAACCTTTTCAATGGGCCTGTATTTCTCTATTAAATTAAAGTCAAATTTCATTCTTGGAAATCATGTCTCTGTACAATCTCACTTCAATCTACACTTTATATTGTAGTCAAGCTAGAAAACTTGTTCTCTGATCACATCTCAGTTTCCCAACTTCTTTCTTTGCCTATTCATTTTCCTACATCACTTGACCTGCTGGATCCATCTGGCAAAACCTAGTTCAAATTAATGCTGTTTTCTTGATCCGAAGTATCAGAATACTTTGTTTTTTGTTTGTCTTTTTTACCACCTACATCAACTAACACAATCCATCTTGTACTCTGGTTATTTGTGTATGACTAATCACTTCTAACTAGACTTTAAGATCCTTTTGTATAAAAACCACATATCAATTATCTTTGTTTTTCCTTTATTTCTTGTACCTTATACATATTAGGGGCTCAGCAAGTGTTGAACGAATGAATGAATGAATCTCAGCATGAAAATATCAAGGAAGGCAGAATTATATAAGTACAAATGGTAATTAATTATGATGATGATAAAAGACAAAAAACCCCAAGTAAATAAATTTAAGATATGTTAGCTGTTACATTGGGAGCATTTTTAAAATGTCAATTAGAGGAAAGCTAGTTAATGGTCTCAATTAATGATAAAGAGATCAGTAGTTTAGCAATATGACAACTCTGAAAATTCTTAAATATTCCTTACTACTCAGTTATGAATATAATACCTTGTATTTATAAATTCCACAGTTTTGGGACACCTTTCTTTTCTCAGGTTTTTTTTTTTTTAGAGTGTTTTTCTTAATGTTAAAATTAGTAAAGCAGAGCCTGAGAAAAGATCATTACTTTTTACTGAAAGCCAGAGGTAAAACTAATATTCCAGCTCGGCATTCTTGCTGAAATGATTAAAAAACATACATTGTATGGCAATGCCTGTTTAATGGAAACCCAGAAAAAAATCTCTGTGACCTTTGCCAGCTTCTCTAACTGACCAATGATGTTACCACCAAACAGGCATGAAATCAGACTGCCTTGGGAGAAAAAACACAAATAAATCACCTACTGTCTTCCCTCCCGCTAAGTGGACATTAGAGTATTAAATAATTGTCAGTTGTCTCTATCTGATAAAATACTTAGTAATTTCTAGGTTATGGAATGAGGTTCTCTTTGACTATAGGAGTGGAAAAGGGCATTATTCATAATGAAGACTGATTTGCTAACATATGTACCTCATCATATGGCTTCATGAAGACTACAAACAGTCTCACAGAAGGTGATGGTCTGACTTTAGCCAGGATTTTGAGGGTGAAAGTTCATATAAGCTCATATTGTTCAACCTGATAGTGATTGTTGCAGCTTTGTCTCTGCCACCAACAATGGACTTGGGTTAATAGGATAGATTGCATGTTTGGGGGATGTTTTCAGCAATGCAGATAGATAGTTTGGGAACAAAAGACACCCTTTTATGAGGATAGCATTATGAAAATGACACTTAAAATACAAACTATTGTTAAGTAGGCATTTGGTAACCTCTTGTTTCTTTTTTATGAAATAAATGGAAACTTTTCAATAATTGCATTCCACAGGAGCTCCCTAAATTCCTCCAGGATCTTTCTTCTACTGATGCTGACCTGCCTTGGAATAGGGCAAAGAACCGCTTCCCAAACATAAAACCATGTAGGTGCATTTGTTAAATCTCTGTGTTTTGTTCGAAAAATGTTCTTAAAACATGACTGCAGTAGAATACAGTTGAATTTTCTTAGCCTTCTTTTTAAATAAGTATTTGTTGTATGTGCACCGATAGCTGTTTATCTCATAAGAAAAGTATGTTTCATTATCAGTTATTTTCAAGTGACATCTCTTTGACTTCTTGTATCTTTTTTTTAGTGAAAATTAATATATTGAAATGATTTTCAGCTTGTTCTTTGCAAACATTAATTATGCAGGTGCAGGAAACTATAGAACTAATACTTTCTTAGCTTTGTAATTGAACCTAAGTAACTAACCTCTTTAACATTCTTTTCCAGATATTTTCCTGCAAATGAAAAGAGGTGGTAGATTGATATATTTTTCCTCTTTGAGAATAAATTCATGTGACGTGTTTTTGTATTGGTTTCCTTTAGGATTATAGCATTGCTTTCCTATGGATTTTCAAATATGTGTTGCAAGATTTTTCATTGAAGATCAGAGCGTATGAGGACTTAAAAAGCCAGAATAGATTTTTATCAAAGGATACAGGGGTTTATAGTGCTATAGTCAACACATCTTCATTTTTCACTTGATAAGACAAAAATACCATTATTGTTTTAAGAATTAACAGTGATGTGGAAGAGGAACAGAACATTCTTGGGCTAATAATAGCTATATTCTCTGATATTAACTTCATAACAGCTGTTTCTGGTCAACAAATTTTTCTAATGCAAAGTACAAATGATAAATCCCTATTTGCAAAATTTGGAAACTTTAAATTTTTATTCAAAAGGATTGGAGTTATAAAGTATTTATAGTTTACTTAGTAAAATGAAGGTTAAAAGCAAATAATTATTTGAAAATATTTTCTATATTCTTACATGTACTTAAAATTTTATTGATTCTACATAGAATACAAAATTTGGAGGGAAATCAAATATGGATTGATTTATCATTGTTAATATCTTTTTTTTTGCCTCTTGTCTGGGATGTTGCACAGAAAAATGACATTACGAATCTAATGCCTGTAGAGCTACCTACTTGAAAGTTAGTTACTTTGAAAGCTCTATTATTTTTCTGTATCAGCCACTAGTAATATTTTCTTCACTGGAAAAAGTAATTTGCTCAGTGTTAACGTATTGTAATGGCCTTGAAATGGTAAATCTAGTCCTACAAGAATATACTTAATATGGTCCTTGAAATAACTTGGGCACAAATAACATTTAATACAATAAGTTAATATTATTGTTTTGAGATCTTCAAATCAAATTTTCTACACAAAATCAAAAATTTAAAAACTTTATTCCAAGGAGTTCAAAGAACTATTATCTATTTCCATAATATAGCCTCTCTACACCTCAGTTTAATGACCTGTAAAATGGGATAATAAGACTTCAGTGACCTATTATGTAGGGCTGTGGTGAGGAAAACACATCACACACCTTTAAAATGCCATTGAAATAGGAGCTGTAATCATTAAGGGTATAGAATTGAGGCTCAGCGACTTCTTCAGGACATCCAGTGATAGAATAATGAGTAGAATCACAAGGTAAGGAAAGATAAAGTAAAATTAGATAAAATATCTATTGGATAAGATAAAAAGTATGTTGTGAATGAACTCGAATGAATACTATGTCATTTTCCAAGGTCGTCCACTCCTCTTATGACAAAGGGTTTGCAATAGAAAATGTTCCCCTGTATGTTCTTCAGGAGCAATGAGAGATCTAAGCATTCTCTTTCTCACTTGATAATAATATAACCCATGGACCAGGGACCTCCAGATCTCTAGTTAATTCAGACAAAATGTTCTCAAAGTCTAGCCTGAAAGGATCATTTTCTATCTTGGTTAATTTCCCCCACCCAGCGTTTATCCTGGGAATTTCCCTCTCTCTCTCCCTCTCTCTTTTCACCTTCTGGGAAGATCTCCAAATTAAGCTGAGTCTATATTTCCACAAATGTGGGAAATAGCAGCCTTAGCTCCAATACAAACATTCAAGGTAACAAATGGACAGCCTTTATTTTCTTCTATAGAAAACACATAAACTACTCAAAGCCTTACAGGTGTCCATGAATCAATAGAAGCAAAAATATTATTTTAGTATTTCAAGCTGTCGTTAAATTTTTCCAGAGTACCATAAGGGTTTGACTTTTGAAGCATCATGATTTATAACATAAGGACAGGTATATGTATATACTTTAATTTGCATTCTATACACTGAAAAATAGTAGCTCCCTCATTCTGTGTTGCCCTGTAATTGTACCTCCTCAACTGTGTAATCACATCATCAAGATGTTACAAAGGTTTTCATTCTTGAAGTACTAATGTCAGGTTTTTTGAAAACCTAGATCAGTAGGTGTTACAAGCTGTCTTGAAACCATCACGGATGATTATAAATGTTTTGCAGAAACAAAACATGTATTGCCTCTTATTGCAGTATTAAGGCTATTTTTATTTAAACTTATCTTCTGTTTACGTTACTATTCTGTTGGATTTTCAAGTGTACAGGTTGACAATACTGTTAAATCATTCAGTAATTTCTTTTTTTTCCCTTAACAGTGTTTTTAATTTTTCCCCAATTACATGTAAAGATAGTTTTCAACATTCATTTTTGTAAAATTTTGAGTTCTAAATTTTTCTCCCTCTTTCCTTTCCCTTTGTCCTCACCAGGACAGCAAACAATCTGACATAGGTTGTACGTGTACAATAACGTTAAACATACTTGCACATTAGTCATGTTGTGAAAGAAGAAGAACAAAAGGTAAAAACCATGAGAAAGAAAAAAAAACAAAAAAAGGAAAATAATATGCTTCGATCTGCATTGAGACTCCATAGTTCTTTCTCTGGATGTGGTCAGCATTTTCCATTATGAGTCTTTTGGAATTGTCTTAGAGCATTGTATTGCTGAGAAGAGCAAAGTCTAATGTAGTCTGTCATCACACAATGTTGCTATTTCTGTGTACAATGGTCTCCTGGTTCTGTTCACTTTGCTCAGCATCAGTTCATATAAGTCTTTCCAGTTTTTTTCTGAAATCCACCTGCTCATCATTTCTTATAGCATAATAATGTTCCATTACATTCATATACCACGACTTGTTCATCCATTTCCCAATTGATGGGCATCACCTCAATTTCCAATTCTTGGCCACCACAAAAAGAGCTGCTATAAATATTTTTGAACGTGTGGGTCCTTTTTTCCATTTTTTATGATCTCTTTTGAATACAGATCTATCAATGGTATTACTGGATCAAAGGATATGCATAGTTTTATAGTCCTTTGAGCATAGTTCCAAATTGCTCTCTAGAATGATTAGATCCGTTTACAACTCCACCAACAATGCATTAATAATCCAATTTTCCCACATCTTCTCCAACATATATCATTTTCCTTTTCTGTCATCTTAGCCAATCTGATAGGTGTGAGGTGGTACCTTAGAGTTGTTTTAATTCTAATCAATATTGATTTAGAACATTTTTTCATATGATTATAGATAGCTTTAATTTCTTCATCTAAAAACTGCCTGTTCATATCCTTTGACCATTTATCAATTAGGAAATGACTTGCATTCTTATAAATTTTACTCAGTTTTCTATATATTTGAGAAATGAGGCCTTTATCAGAGACAATGTCTGTAAAAATAATTTCCCAGGTTTCTGCTTTCCTTCTAATCTTGGTTGTGTGGTTTTGTTTGTACAAAAACTTTTTAATTTAATGTGATCAAAATTATCCGTTTTACATTTCATAATGTTCTTTATCTGTTGTTTGGTCATAAATTCTTCCCTTCTTCATAGATCTGACAAGTAAACTATTCCTTGCTCTCCAAATTTGCTTATGGTATCATACCTTATGTCTAAATCATGTACCCATTTTGAACTTATCTTGGTATAGGGTATGAAATATTGGTCTTTCCCTAGTTTTTGCCATGCTATTTTCCAGTTTTCCCAGCAGTTTTTGTCAGATAGTGATTTCTTATCCCAGAAGATGGAGTCTTTGGGTTTATCAAACAGTAGATTACTATAATCATTTACTACTATGTCTTGTGTACCTAACCTATTCCCCTGATCCACCACTCTATTTTTTAGCCAATACCAAAAAGTTTTGATGATTGCCACTTTATAATATAGTGTTAGATTTGGGACAACGAGGCTACCTTCCTTTGCATTTTTTTCATTAATTCCCTTGATATTCTTGACCTTTTATTCTTCCAGGTGAATTTTGTTACTATTTTTTCTAGATGCATGAAACAATTTTTGGTAGTTTGATTGGCATGGCTCTAAAGTAAATTAACTTAGGTAGAATTTTCATTTTTATTATATTAATTTGGCCTACCCATGAACAATTGATATTTTTCCAGTTGTTTAGATCTGATTTTCTTTGTGTGAAGTGTTTTGTAATTGTGTTTATGTTTCCTAGGTTTGTCTTGGCATGTAAACCCCCAAGTATTTTATATTTCCTACAGTTATTTTAAATGGAATTTCTCTATCCCTTGCTGCTGGACTTTATTGGTAATATATGGAAATCCTGATGGTTTATGTGAGTTTATTTTATATCCTGCAACTTTGCTAAAGTTGTTAATTGTTTCAAGTAGTTTTTTTAGTTGATTCTCTAGAATTCTCTAAATATGCCATCATATCATCTGCAAAAAGTGATAGTTTTGTTTCCTCATTGCCTATTCTGATTCATTCAATTTCTTTTTCTTCTCTTATTGCTAACACTAACATTTCTAGTACAATATTGAATAATAGTGGTGATAATGGACATCATTGTTTCACCCCTGATCTTATTGGGAATGCTCTTAGCTTATCCTCACTACATATAATGCTTGCTGATGGTTTTAGATAGCTACTGCTTATCATTTTGAGGATAACTCCATTTATTTCTGTGATCTCTAGCGTTTTTTTTTAATAGAAATGAGTGCTGTATTTTGTCAAAAGCTTTTTTTTCTTCATCTATTGAGTTAATCATATGATTTCTGTTTTGTTATTGATA